GAAAATAGACAGCAAAATGGGTTTGTGTGTGTGTGTGCGCGTGTGTTTCTATCTCTGTTCTTGTGTTAAGAGAATTCTTGAAGATGTCAGTTTCAATTCCAAATACTCAGGAGTAAATAGTTTAGCAATTAATTTGTATCTAAAAATGTGCAGAAGAGAGATTGTAAGACAGTATAGTTTGATGTCACCTGTTCATAAGAAACCTCAGCCTGTTTCTTCTCTTAGAAAGAATGACAAGCTTAGTAAGTAAAAGGAAAACTTTAGTTACAATACAGCTTGATTTTAGTAAAGATTTTACCCGCCATAAGCAAGCTAGGGAAATGTAATATCCATACTGTCTCTATTAAATGCTGATACTATCAGCATCAAGTTGAAAAATTGCTGTTACAGAGTAATTATCTGTAGTGCCCTGTCAAGATGAAAAGGCATTAACGAGTTGGATGATTGAAGAGAACACACACTTAACAAAAGTTACTGATGATGCTAAATTTTTTTGTTTTTTATTCTTTGTTTTGAACAGAAGATCTGAATCTAGAATACTTTTGATGAATTTGGAGAGAAAGTCTGAAATCAATAAGATTAAAGCAATGCAGGCAAGTACAAAGCACTGAGTTTAAGAGGAAAAACTCAAATGCATGAATACAAAACAGGAAATAGTTACTGAGACAGAAAAAATGACAGAAAAAGATCTGAGGATATAGTAGACCTCAAGGTAAATACTATCTATGCTTCTAGAAAAAGTGAAGTGTGAGGTTGGTTTGCTTGGTTTTTTGATTGTTGGTGTTTATTGTTGGTTCAGGGTTTTTTTGTTTGTTTTTTTTTTTTCCCTGGAGGATCATACCAGGCATATTGTAGGGAAGAGGATGTTGTCTGGTTTGGTGAATCAATATGAAGTTGGTCCCCTCGAATGCCTCACTGCTCTTTCCTCTCGAGAAAATGCAAAAAAATTGGAAATTCTTCTCCACTGTTGTTGTTTTTTCATGTGGAATGAAACCCTTCTTTATTTCTAATAAGGATGCTTTAGACTGGATATGAGAAAAAGATTCTTTGCAATTATTAGGGTGATAGTCTGTCCCAGTGTTTTATCTGGAGAAAGTATGGAATTGGCTTTCTTGGTAGTTAAATATCTGTCAAGATATTCTTGAGCCTGCATTCATGCTTAGTTACAATTAGTTAGTCTCTTGTGGTCCATTTCATCTCTCCAGAAGTAGAGTGCTCAAACTGCATGTTTTGGTTCCATGGAAGAGATTATCTAAGAGTTAAGTCATGAACTCGGTGAAGTGAATGGGCATGCTACTTCTTGAATCCTTAATTCAATTTTAAGTTAGATCAGTAAGGAAAAAAGCTCATTTTTTACTTAAAATAATTTGGTTTCCCCAAAAGTGTTTTGACAAATGATGCTTAAAAATATTTTGAAGCTTCTGCATATATCTGTCTGTCTTCTAATGAGAATGCTAGAAAAGTAGGGAATGCAATTGTGGTAGCACTGAGACAGTAGAAACCCCTTGATTACTCAGTAATAGCCCTATGGAAGAAATGACACCCTAGAGGGTGTCATTTGTATATTTCTGCAGGCAAAGTTTACAGACCTGTAAATTTAAATGTAGAATTTTTGTGGGCAGAAAGCATTGACAAATATGTCTGATGTTAATACACTTCATACTAATAGTCCCAGAACAGGTCAATAATAATGCTTATATTGATGGCACCAATGCAGGAGATGTTACTTGGTATTATAGCTAAAATCCATGTTATCCCCTTAATTATAATTACATTAATATCGACAGGCTGTTGACAATACTTACATTACTATTGATAGATTTCTGTCAATAACATGTTTCCAAATAAAATATATTAATTCATAATTTGTATAATGTTCAATAACAGCAGTAACATATACCAGAAGAAATTTCTCTTTGCCTGGTGGTATACAATAATATTTTTTTGCTGCACTGTGTACTGTACCAGTGTTTAGTAAAAAAAAGAAAAACCACACCAAAGTGTAGGTTATTTAAGAAGCATTCTGTGTGGTTTTATTCTGGGAGGCAATTTTTTTGTTTGTTTTTCCTATGTGATACCTTTGATGGTGTAAATTGAGGGTATCAAGGCATATTGATATTGGTGTAAGAAGTTAATCACACAGAGGGGTTTTATGTATATTCACCTAATTTTTGACTGTTCAGTTCTGATCATATGAGCTAAGCCTGGTAGCATCCTTAACTGATCATTCATATTTGCCTCTTTAATGACTGGCTCTACAATTCTGAGCTCTTAAATTTAAAAAATGTAAAGTAGGCCAAATAAGAGACCAAGGAAAGACAAACAGAATTTAATGCAGAAAATGGAGGAAAACCAACATTCTCCTTATAATCTGTGTAGCTCACTAGAATATGGAATGCAAAAATAATATTAAAAACACAAGCTAAATGTTTTGACATTTACAGGTTGTTTAGTTATAACACCTGGGATAATGGAAGTCAGCTAAAAAAGATGGTATGTTGTGTATTGGTAATTGTATGGAACAGTACTAGGAGGGTAACGGAAATTAGTAGAATGGAGTGAAATGAGTAGAAGGGACTGAGGTGTTACCAGAAGTGAAAAAGACACTGGAGGTTTAGGGATTATGAGTGACAGGTTCCCAAGTAGATGGTTATCAGAGGCTGCGGTTCCTAAATGGAGAAGATAAGGGGTAGGAGGGTGAATGGTCACTGGACCTGGAGTTTTTGAAGCAATACAGCAAGATCCAATAGGGATTGAATTGACCTTTTTATCACAAAGTGGAAGAGGTAAGTTACTGGGTTGATACTAGATAATGCTTAGCAAACATGCTTCATGCACTTCAGTCCTTACTACAGAAAAGACAGGAGGGCATACTCCCTTTGTATACCCTTGTATGCTGGATTGTCAGACCAGCATGGGTTGGTGCAGTGAACCCCATTAGCTTTTTTTTGTCCAGAGGAGGTGGCCTTAAACTGCCTTCAGCCGTATTTTCCTTTCTACTGAGGTAGGAGGAGTTTAAAGTAATTGAGTGGAGCTACTGTATGCCCTACCCATGCAGCTAGTCTTTGTTAACTGGAAACTACTATTGTACAGCATACATTAAAAACAAAAGCATGTTTCCTGTTAGCTTTGCATGATATTTTTTCCTTATAGACATGACCAGGTATGGAAAACAGTAGGAATGCTACAAATGATCACAGAATCATTAGGGTTGGTAGGGACCTCTGGAGATTATCTAGTCCAATCCCCTCTGCCAAAGCAGTGCCACCAGAGGAACACATCCAGGAAGGTTTTGAATGTATACAGAGAGAGAGACTCCACAGCCTCCCTGGACAGCCTGGTCCAGTGCCCTGCCACCCTCAATGTAAAGAAGCTCTTCCTTATGTTCAGGTGAAACTTCTTGAGTTTTAGTTTATGGCCATTGTCCTATCACTGGGCGCCGCTGAAGAGTCTGGCACCATCTTGCTGGCACTTGCCTTTGAGATATTTATATTCATAAATGAGATCCCCTCTGTCTTCTCTAGACTACACAGGCCCAGCTCCTGCAATCGCCTTGTAAAAGAGGTGCTCCAGACCCCTGATAATCCTTGCGGCCCTCTGCTGGATCCTCTCCAGTAGCTCCCCTTCTTTTATACCATGTTTTAAAACTTTTGGTGCACTCTGTTTCAGCAAGCAGTTATTGCTTTGAAGGATTTTTATTTTGTTTTGTTCTGTTTTCTTAGCATCATTAGCAACCATTCCTATATATGGTCCTGTACAGCATCTTTCATTCAAAGCAAGTTTGTTTTATAGCAGGTTTTCCTCTTATAAACAGCGATTTGAAGTGCCTTCTTCAGTGCTTTGTTTAGGAGACTGTTGACCCTTGCTTGTCTGTTACACAAAGAATCTGGTTTAGAAAGTGCAAGATGTTGCGTAGTGTCTGAAATATACCACTTGTAAATCACTTTGGGTTTGTTTTTTTTTTTTTATGTGCACAAAAGGAACTAAAAATCAGTTACCCCACAATTTTGCATTACCAAGGTATTAGCTGCATTTTGTTTTTGTAATTTATTGCATTTATTTTCTTAGTCACAAAATTCCAAATACAATAACACTTAAACCAAGCAATTTAAAAAAATATTTGTATTTTTCTCTGTAATGCTTGAATAAGAAGAGCACATAGTTGTTGGAGTTGCTAGTATACATTAATCATCTTGCCAGGAAATTTGTTATACAAGAAGTAACACAATCCCACACCTGTCAAAAAACTAGAAAATATATGCAGGCTTTAGTGATGTACTGTATGATAATTTATGTCTGAATGCTGAATATTTTTTTAATCTCATATGATGATTCTTCTCTAAACTAATCACTGCCTTTAGCAAGTTTTATCATCCCGATCTTATTTTATCCATATTTTTCTGCATGCAATCCTTAAATTTGTTAGCATTTCTAAGATTTTTACTTTCAGCTGCAGCTAGGGAAGTATTCATATAGCAATATTTTCTATCCACCCACTGTTCTCTTACAGATCTTGGTTAGTAAATTCACTTTCCTTATTTCTCCATAAAAAACCTGTATAATGTTATAATTCTTGTTTCTGGCCTTCTATTTTAAGGTTCAATTCAATATTTCAGATATGCCCAGCAAAATACTAGGGTTTTTAATTTATTCAGTGTAATATTAAATCTGTGGAGTTTTTCTAAACATCTGCAAGGTGCTAAACACTTCTCTATAACCAAATATGAATGTTACTGTTTGTGAGAAACAGTCCAATATATCTTCTTTTGCGGTGAAATTTTTTACTGTTAATGTAAAGGTTCGTGAAAGGACCTGTAGCTTATTAGTAGCATGGTAATGTACATCCTGAACAACCTTTTTTGTTACTTATTATTTACTGCTGGTATAGATACATGGATATGTAGGCATGCATAAAACCAAGTTCGTTATTTTTTTTATAAGAATAAAAATAGGAAATTCTCTGTTTACACTAAAATCTATTTGTGTTTATTCCTAGAAAGTTTTTTTGTGAAGAAATGGCATCCATCATTGGCAATGAAAAGAGTGTGAATCCTGTGCTCAGAATAAGTCAACTTGATGCTCTTGAGCTAAACAAAGCCCTGGAACAACTAGTGTGGTCACAGTTTACCAGCTGTTTTCATGGATTTAAACCAGGGGTGTTGGCTCAGTTTGAACCAGAAGTAAAAGCATTTTTATGGCTTGTATTGTGGAGATTCACTATATACTCCAAGAACGCAACTGTGGGACAGGCTATTCTGAATATCCAATACAAGAATAACTTATCTCAGACAGAGAAATACCAGCCTCTGAGCAAACACCAGAAGTTATGGTATCTGATTTTAACTGTTGGTGGAAGATGGTTGGAAGAAAGATGTTATGATTTATTTAGCAATCATCAAATGCAATCTTTCTGCAAAATTAAGAGTTGTATTAACTTTGGAGCTGGACTTCTTAAATTTTGTGGACTTCTAAATTTTCTGATTTTTCTTCAGAAAGGAACATTTGCAACATTAACAGAACGCATTCTAGGAATTAGGTCAGTTTTTTGCAAGCCACAAAGTGTTCGTCAAATAGGATTTGAATACATGAACAGGGAGTTATTATGGCATGGCTTTGCTGAATTTCTGATCTATCTGCTGCCGCTTATAAATGTACAGAAACTGAAACTTAAAATTTCTTCTTGCTGCTCACATATTTCAGGTCTTTCCAGTAGTAAAAAGACATTAACAGCTCACTGCAAAGAATGTTCACTATGTGGGGAATGGCCTACCATGCCTCATACCATAGGATGTTCACATGTTTTTTGTTACTATTGTATTAAAAGCCACTATTTATTTGATATGTATTTTACATGCCCTAAATGTGGCTCAGAGGTACAGAGTCTTCAGCCATTGAAATACAAGGTTGAAATGACAGAATTGCACACCTGATACGATGTTGATTTGGTTTTATACTGTACATGAAATATTATGTTGAAGATATTACTGCAAAAATTCAGAAAGTATTGTAAACAGCTTTTGAGAGTTTGCAATTTGTTGTAACATACGTCTTTACTGGTCTTAGCAGTTTACTGAGTGAAAGTGCCAACTTGCCTCTTTGAAGGAATAAAAAGTAATTTACCAACTCTTCTGCTTTCTCAGACTAGTTGATCCCACTTTGGTACCCTTATGTTGCCAAGTCATTCATCCTTAGATCTAGAGTCTGTTAGCCTGCAACTTTCTAACTTCATGCTGTATACTTCCTTCAAAGATACAGAAGATGCCCAGTAAATTGTAGCAATTTAATGGATTTTTCTCAAGCTTGTTGTAAAAGCTTCTGTCATTAACAGCTTAACTAGTAGATTAATTTGGTGGGCAAGTCATCTTGTCATGCCTAAATAATAATTTTAAATTCAAATTTTAAATTTAAATTTTAATTCAGTGTGAGGTTCCATGGAGAAAAGGAAAAGTGTAAGATGGATTGCCATCTTGGCAGATTAAGAGTTTTCATCGTATTAAAACAACGTAACAGGATGTACCCAGAATTGCTTTCTTATCAATAGACCATAAACCCTAAGTGACCCCTCTGGTAGACATACAGATACTCCATAGTGAACATGTGCCTACAGGTGTTATACCACTTCCTGTACGAATACAGTGCACCTTCTAGACTTCCATGAGGTGACTGAACTACTTTTCTGGCTTAGCCATGATCTTCAGTGACGTATATATGACCATTTTCCTCTACTTTTGTATAAAGCTGAGGCACACAGTCCATCATTCATTAGAATGTGGCAGCTGCCCAAGGTAACCCACAGTCTTCTGACTCAGAGACACTGGAGATAACTGACAGTATGCTGTCTTTGGGACTTGCCACTCTTTTGGTGTTTTATGTGTGTGGTCAAGGTGGATGCCAGACCTCAGTAATGGCTCACTGCTGCACCAAAAAAATATCAATACAGTTATGTGCATATAGACACGTAAAAAAAAAAAAAAAAAGATATTCCTGGTTTTCACTGTTACTATTTGCTTCGTCTGTCAGCTTTGCAATGTTGTTATTATCCCGTTTTAACACTATCAATTTATTCTTTGACCTGGTTCTGTATGAGTTATTTTCTTAAAAATCGCAGTCCTTTTTTTTTAACAGGAAGTCTTGCCCAGAAATGTGTCATTAACAAAAATATACTGCATCCTTTTTCGATTCTTTAACTGTGTAAGTTTTTGAGAATTTGAGTAAATAGCATTATACTAGCTGTGTTCTTGATTGGCTGTCATCAGTAGTCAGTCCCAAAAACAACTGATCCAGTCTTTGATCTACTTTTATGAAATGGTTTATTACATTCTTCAGTGTCTGATTAAAACAACTCACCAGCCTATTTATTTGAAGATCTTAAATTCTAGGTTTTGATCTTTCAAGTGACACACAGTGCTTTCATCTGATGCAATTAAATATAGTTAGCAGGTTTGTAAGTATCTTTGGGCAGCCAAAAACTTCATTAATGCTGCTGCTGTTGTGTGAATTGGGACTTCAGAGCAACTGCTTCCAGATACTGTGCCACAGTGTATTATTTGCCATCGAATGTGTGTATCAGCAGCCTGCCAGATTTATTATTCACAGTTGCAATTCAAACCAGCATGTACAAAGCTGCCTTTATTAGAAGTATCAAAACTGGCAGTTCTGTTGGAGAATGTCTGGAGTTACTTGCTGGTCCTGAAGTGATTCTGTATGAATTGTCCTTCCACATTATTTAATAGCTCTTCCCAAAGAAATGTATTTGCAGCCCTGTCTTTGAGGTGGTCTAATGTCTCTTGAAAAATCCATGAGCATTTCTGCTACCTCTTTAGCTATCCTTATTAAGGCTTGTACACATCCAAAATCCAGTGTTTGTGTTTTATAATCATAGCAGACCTTTGTTTATTGTGGACTCTTCATTCCTTCTGAAGTTACAGGTAAAGTATTGTGTTAAAAAAGCATGGATTTTTCTATATTGGACTCTGTTAGGTGTCATGTTCTTCTAATGTAGGCGTTAACTTCTTTTGTATTGAGAACTGTTTCTTTTTCCGGAATATTTAAAGAATGCTATTTTCCCGTTTCATTCCACCCCTCTCTCTCTCCTGCTGTTTGGTTTATGTAAGCTGTATGAATTTGCTAAGGTTTGTTTTGTCTCTTGCAGTTTCCTGCAGGTGAAAACCTAGTAAAATGTATACTGTTTTTCATCCCTGTTATAGTAGCAGTACGAAACCTGTTCCCAGAAGTTTTGTACCTCTATTGTACAGCTATTTTCTATGCTAAATTGCACTTGACTTCCCTGTTTTTCTTCTGGAATTCAGCTTTTGATGCTTAACTTGTGATGTCTTATTATACCAAAGCTTTGGCCTACTGCTTGTATTGCCTCATCATCAGTGTGTTAGGTTTGTAGCCCATAGAACTGACCAACTTTGTGGTCTATATCTTATGACATAAATAAACAGTTTTCATTACCCTAATATCCTAGATTCTAAAGTGTGGCTATAATTATTTCATTTTCCATGCAAGTAGAGGAAAAGTTTGGGAAAATAGGGGTTCCTTTTGTCAGAAATATTCTTTATTTATTTATCTGCAGTGTGGTGAAACTTTTGCTCAGTTGTAGTCACAACTCACATTGATGAGACCAAGTATATTAAAAATAGTGCTTTCTACCAGGTTAGCTTTGTAACAGTTCAGAGTCAGTGCTCAGCAGCTTCCTTATAGCACTGTAAAATTACATACCTCTGGTCTGTTGTGTCTTGTGATATAAACTGCAGAAAAGTAATCTTTGATTATATCTAAAAGTTAGATGTTTCATAGACTAATCAAATGACAATTTACATGCTAACTGTGTGCTAACTCATAAGCACTATATTTTCAGGTTAAAACTCCGCTGTAACGAAGGACTAAATGGTGATGCTTCTTGCAGTAGAGGGAATAAAATTTATTTTGGAACGTTAATCTCTTCAGTCCTTTTCTTTAAACAAAAGGGGATTAGTGTTCAGCTGCCATGAGAATGTACCTCTGAGCAGCCATATGCATCAGTGAAAAGGATAAATATGTAGAATTTAAGAAATGTAGAGGACCAGAACTTCTATTCTGTCTTGGATAGGAGTTACAGCCCTGTATTAAGGGTTTTATTTGTGCTCTGTTGTGTCTTGTGTGCTATATGAACATGGTCATTGTATCAGAAATCAAGAAATTAAGTCATAACTGAAAAAGACTAATTGTATTAATAGGCATATTAGAAAAGTTTTTATACTTTCATTTGAATGAGAATTACAAGTTGTCACAAGGTATGATTTTGGAGGCATTTAGATGAAAGGAATCGGGTAATGCTGTTTGCTTGCTTCCACAAAACATCACCACTTCATTTATTCTGTATGTTTTAAGAGAGGTCTTGTTTAAGTAATTTTGTGAAAGACTTAAAGGCAGGAGTTTCAATAGTCTGTAAAATAAATGACAGGGGAAGTACCTGATCTCTGTATTACCTGGAAATACTTCTGGTTTTGGTTCGTTTTTTTTTTTACATGAATGTGGGATGTGACAGGCGAGGATGATTTGGGCAAAGTGGTGAAAAGATGTTAAAGGTGAAAGAAATATTTTTCCTAAATACAATCCAATGAATTTCCTTATTTGAGAATGTGTCTACAGTTATTATCTGAGATGTATCATTCTTATGAAAACCAAGTTGACAAATAAAGTATACATTTAAACAGGAGGTTGAGGTGCTGAACTTTTCTTAAGAGACTTCTTTTTTTTTTTTTTTTTTTTTTCTTTTTCACTGGCTAATTATGGTTATTCAGTGGTAAGGTCATTAGGTGCTCTTTAGTATTTATGATACAAATGCAAAGTGGCAAGCTAGTTTATAGTTACAGTTCACTTTAAAAGTTTCTTCAGTTTTAGGTTCCAAAGCAAAGTATCTTTTGAATAATTCTCCTTTTGAGCAGAGTAGTGTCGTGGTTTAAACCCAGTCAGGTAACTTGTTCACTCACTCCCAGTGAGTGGTGCCGAGCTGACAACAATCAAGGTCCGTGTTCGTCTTCCCCCCCCCTCCCTGCACCGGGGCTCTCCCCTTCCCCGCTCCCGGAGGAACAGGGAGGAGGATCGAGAGAGTGCAACTCCTACGGGTTGAGACAAGAACAGTCCAGCAACAAATCACCACCGCTACTATCAGCTAAAACAATGATAAGGGAAAATAACAAGGGAAGAGAATACGATACCACCGGCCAAGAAAACGAGTTCCACCCGGAAGCTCCTGTCCTTCCGGGTAACTCCCAGTTACCCCCCACCCCGGGCATGACGTGCTGTGGTATGGAATACCTCCCCGGCTAGCCCGGGTCAGGCGCCCCGCCTCTGCTTCCTCACAGCCTCCCCTCTTCCCTGGCAGAGCATGAGCCTCACAGAGTCCTTGGTCAGGGTAAACATCACTTAGCAACAACCGACAACATCGGCTTCACCAACGCTGTTCTCAAAACTAGAAGTCAAAACACAGCACTGCACCAGTTAACACAAAGGAAAAAACATGACTGCTACTGCTGAACCCAGGACATTATCCACCCCTTATTCCATACCATTCACGTTGTGCTCAGATCCCACATTTTCAATACACCATCGCTCTCCCACATATATACATCCATATACATACAGACCAAGAGGAAAAAAAAAATCATTTTCTTAGTGCATGGACCAATCCCTATAATGCTGCAGTGCCCTGGGGTGCAGTCCTCAAGGTGTCCCAAGCTGAAGAGAACATTTTTCTCTCCAGTTGCACAAGCTAGTCTGCAATGCAGTAACACAGGGTTCACAGAGGATGTGGTGTTTCCGCCCGGAAAGGCATACTTGTGAATCAGCAAGCACAGGTAGTTCTAGATCTTTAAGGTAGTTTTTAATACGTACAGAATCCTTAGCTGCATGTCTCTGATCCTGAGTCTAGTTAAGAGAACAGGCTGGTGCAAAGTACGGTAAGGTTGGCCAGTATGCTACCATTCATCTCAAAGGAATCAGTCTAGTTTCAGGCAGATATCTCAAAAATATTTCAGGGAGCAAAAGGCTGCCAGTCTAGTAACTGCTTTGCATTCTGCTGTGTTGGAAGAGCTGTAATGGAGAACTAATCTTAGCATGTTGAAGTAGCCTAGGAGACTGGGAAATGGACTCCTTTCTTCTGCCATTTTCTGGATTCGTTGCAACCTTCTGTCTAACTTCTGACTGGACAGCTGCCAAGTTTGATTATCCTGACCACTGCATCCCATCATGTTCCCTAGCTTTTAGACATCCTCCAATAGATGATGTGCTGTCTGGTTTAGAGATCTTACCTAACTAGTCTTTCAGGACACAGTCTGCTGAGGAAGTAGCCCAACCTGGCATCTCCAAATTATCTGTACATTTGGGAAACATAGCTCTGGTGCAATAACTCTTAAGGATCTTCCTCAGAGATACATTTTCTTAATGGAAAAAAACCTCATGGCTTACAGGTTTAGTAGATGCTTTCACGTAAATATGCCTGATTCGCTAACAAGATACCTAGCCTGCCCTCTGTAGTTGGTTCTCATGTTGTTTGGGTCCTAAAGACAGGGTGGAGAAAGGATCAGGTTTCTGTCAAAGAGGCAGGGCAGTCATTGGGGCTAGGTGACTAGAAAGACGCTTAGCCCCAAGCAAAGACAGTAAGTAGTGTTTGTGGCAGTATTGATTCTTTATTGGAATCTGTATTAGCACTAAAGACTTGCAGTGAGTTTTGAAAGTTGCTCTGCCTTAAATCAGGTCTGCTGTCTGTTAAGTGATTGCTCTGAAGAAATTCTCCTGTTATACTCAGTCTTGATGTAAGGTCATGGTTGCGCATGGTGCAGTAAGGTACAATAATGGGCTTGGTATTCAGGATGTTGATAGCCAGTTTGTCACTGTATGGTCACATACTGTCAGATGCATCAAACCACAGCTTAACATCTGCTTGAACATGCTGTGTGAGATTACTTGGGTAGAGATGCATAGCTCATGACAAGGCATAAAAAGCAATGTTCACAATACAGACACAGCTAATTAAGTTTTTCTGAAAATACTTTTGCATTGATGAAAATGTTTCAGTCTGCACTTAAGTAGGTAAGTTTCTTATATGAGTGACTACCATAGCCTGCTATAATAGCCGCAAAATAGCCTGTGTAATTAGCAAAAGCCTAT